TGGCACCAAATATCCCTAGACATAGAATAGAAGAATGAGGAAAATATACATCTGTAAATTAAATAAAGGGTTCAGTGATATTCCCTGGATGACAATCAAGAATGTGACTTTTTAAAGAGTTATCTGTGCTTTGTTTTTATTTATAAATGTCAAGTTTGAAATTATGCTTATGTCATTGACAACTGCATACTACTGATGTTGAAGTTTTACCCACAATTCATAGAGGTACAAACAGGCACAATGGTTGAAACGTTGGGATAACAACAACAACAAAGATGAAGACAATAGTGTAAATAATGAAAATAACTGGAGTGTATATTGTAAGTCAAGATGATATAAAAAGAAGAGATGTGTAAACCTCTCAAATTTTATCATCTCTTCTCATTGAATAGCTAAGACGTTAAAGGGAGGTAATAATTATATCTACAATATCATGTCTATAAGTTAAAATAAATTTGCTATTCGAAAAAGCTTTTAAAATTGCATAAGTCTCAAATGCTTCAAATACTGAGTGAGAAAGAACATTTTTAAAATATACATTCATTTTGATTAATCGAAGTTGATCCTGCTTTCTATTAAGGTCAGTAATATTTCATATACTTATTCCAAGGGAAGTAATCGTGATTACATCAAGAGGTTAAATTCACTTGTATTTGAAAATAAATTGTTGGAAAATTTAAACTAAAAATTCATTGGATTTTTTTTCTTTTAAATTTGTTGATAAAAATACAGAAATGTTTTTCATAAAATTTATTCCATGAAAATATTTATGTTAAGATGGATCATCGTCACCTCACTAAATGTTATGGTTGTAGACATGTATAATGAGATAGTCACAGAAATACCTTTTTCGTAGCATTACAGTTCACAGAATAATTTAGACTTCTTGTTCTTTGAAATGCTTGTACAAATCTCTATCAAACTCTTTCTATAATGTACACATTTCTCAAATAAAAAGTCTTTAGAAAGATTAAATTATATAAATAAATATGGAGTGGTTTAGATGAGAATACTTAGGAAAATTCAGCTAGACTTTAAATATTTTTGGAGATTTACAATAGGCACTGTGACAAGAAATAATTTTTAAAAAAATATTTTTTCATATAATAGATTAACCACTCCAGATCCTAAATAATATAAAAAAAGATTATTAAATTTTATAAAAAGTGTTCCAGTTTGCCATATAAATTGATTCTTCTTATGGAAGCCAAAACAAACATTCTGTGATTTTTCTTATAATTTAAAAAAAAAAAAATTCATTTTAAATTTGTAAATGAAGTTTTTAATCGACAGTAATATAAGTAAAAAGACCTCCAGATTATTTTTAAGAAATCATGGAGTATAAGCATATTTTGTTTTGGGTTGCGTAGGCGGATCAATTTACAATAGCAAATTTGAAACCCTTATCAACTTTTATAAAATTTAGTAACATTTTTTTTTTGTATTCATGACCTAACATGTTTAATGTTTAGTAATCTGAAATAAAGTGCCTATTGTACAACTCCAACATAATTTTTTTTTCATTTTTTGCCATCTCCATTTTCAGATTCAGAATGCATTTTCATAAGCATATGAGTCAAATTTTAATCCTGCTACCCAAATTAAATAACCTAGAAAACTTGGTATTGTGTATATCAAATATTTTGGTTAAAATCTTTGCAAGTATTATATATATATATATATATATATATATATATATATATATATATATATATATAATGAGAAGCCACATATACTTTCTTAATATGTATATATAGAAAAAGTTGCAATTAACAAAAATAATAATGTTTTTATGAAAGTATTTATTTATTTATATATATTTGATATTTCAGATCGACCTCGATCTTTTTTCAATGTCGATTTGAAATATCAAATATATATAAATAAATACTTTCATAAAAAAACATTATTATAGGTTTTAAGTTGCAACTTTTATATATATATATATATATATATATATATATATGTAACAACTGGAATGTAGAGAAACGCTATTTTCATATTTTTTTTTTTTTTTTAAATGAAAAATGACTCAAGAGATTAAAATTGTGGAAAATTATCATTATATCTGTGTGGATGTATTCAACCATTTTCTTTCGATTTTATGATCCCTATTTGCATATTTGTTTTAATGAAAAAATTATTTTCCAGAAAATTATAGAAAAACCAAATATTAAATATTTACTTAACAAAATTAATGATTCAAACAAAAATCACAAAGAAAAATGGTTGAATACATCAACACAGATATAATGACAATATTCTCCACACGTGACAATCTCTGACGTCATTTTCATTTAAAAAAAAATATGAAAATAGCGTTTTACATTCCAGTTGTTAGGTACATTCTGTTTTTGTTTTTATTAGTTATGTTGTTCATTTAATTTTTCATATATATATATATATATATATATATATATATATATATATATATATATATTGTTTAATCTGCTCTGCATAGGTGTGTAATGTAAAAAAAAAAAGCTTTCAAAAAAAAACTGTAATCAAGAAAGAAAGGCCAAAGTTACTAATTAGGTTAACTGGTCTGCTCGTAAAAAATAGGGTAAATTTTCTTTTTGGAATAATTTTTGTAAATTAGCATCCATTAGATCTGTCTCAACCCACATTTGTCAGAATCAAAAGAATATTGATTTTTCATTCTTTTAGAAAGGGGGGTCCTGTTCATAATAAAAGCACAGTGTCAAATCGATCCCTGACTTTTTAAAGAGTTATCTGTGCATTGTTTTTATTTATAAATGTCAAGTTTGAAATTATGCTTATGTCATTGATAACTGCATACTATTGATGTTGAAGTTTTACCCCCAATTCATAGAAGTACAAACAGGACCCACCTTCTAAATCGATAAGAAAAACAATATTTTTCAATTTTGATAAATGTCCTGAGTATAGGAAAGGTTATTGGATTATAATCTATGAAAATTATATAAAAAAAAATAGTCCCTATTTTTTTTTCTTACAAGCATACTAGTTAAGTTCAGTAGTACTGAAAAAAGGTAATACTAGTTAAAATTCAATTTAGCATTTCATTCATTTATATAAAACAGAGACAAGCAATGAGGCGTAATGTGTTTCAAAATTAACCCCGAATGAGCAGAACAAATGATACAAAACACTGTATACAGTCAGTAGCATAGCTAGATGGGGGCAAGGAGAGCAGTCTGCCACAGACAAAACTTTTATGGAGGCAGCAGTTTTGGGTCTGCTGGATAAGCCTGAATGGCAAATGCAAAAAAGTTACTGCGTAGAAAGTTGTAGTTTTCCTTTTTAGAAATAAAGATTGCTCTAATTTTTTTGATTTTACAATTTTTTACTTTTTTCACCAATATGTTGACTTTGCTTTTTGTATTAGTTGGTTAAAAACAGTATGTACAGGGTTGACAGTTGAAGCCAATTTATGAAGACCCCAGGTTTATTTTCTGTTATCTAAACAGCTAAAGATGTGTTGATTTGTGCAAGTGCCTTTGAAAGCATAGTCCATTTTAAATTTTATCACAATGCTTGTTATGAATCATGGCATGCTTATAAAATATTGAACATACGATGGCTTCAAATTCTTGTTGGTTAAAGGAGGAGGTTTCTGTTCAAGTGCCTGCACACTCACGGTTCTTGGTAGATTATCATAGCATGATAGAGATAAGTCTTTCATTGTCGAGATGTTTGGAGATGAGAGAGAGCACAGGGAAATGGATTCATGCCTTTCTCAGAGACATTAAATCTAAGTGAACATTATCAGCTTCATCTGTTGGGAAATGGAACAGAGTATAGGGACATGGATTCATGCCATTCCCAAGAATATTGGTTTTAAGTGAATATAACCATCCTCAGATAATATTCAATGGGATATATGAATTCATGCCTTTTTCAAAGGGCTTTAGTGGCCTAGTGAACATTACCAGTTTTAGCTGACTGGAAATGGGGCAGAGTACAGGGGTATGGACTCATGCCTTTCCCAAGGGTATTAATGCTAAATAAACATTACCAGCATCAGCTAATGTTCAGTGACAAAGCACAGGGATATATAGTTTCATGCCTTTCTCAAGGGCATTAATAGCCAAGTGAACCATAGCTGACTGGAAATGGGATACAGGGGTATGGACTTATGCCTTCTCAAGGGCATTAATTCTAAATGAACTTTATTAGCTTCAGCTGATGTCCAATGGGACAGACCTCAGGGATACATGGATTCATGCCTTTCCGAAGGGCTATTGGTGACCAAGTGAACATAACAAGCCTTAGCTGACTGGTAATGGAACAGAGTATAGGGATACTGTGGGGAAAATTGTGAAAATGGCCTACCTCGGAAATGCCCGACCTCGGAAATGCCCGCAAATCTGTGCGTCATGCAAACTCCGATTGCTCAACGGTAAAAAAGAACCAAAATGGTGGCACCCATATTTTATGCCAGGTGGTCTCGGACAGTTAACACAAAATCTTGTTGTCTCGTCATCCGCATGCAAATCATGGTCGGTACTCAGCTGTATAAAGCAGGCGCATTTTTGTTTCTGTGTTTTTTGCTCGTGAGAAGGTTGGACGTGTGACACTATTTTGTCGGTTACCCTCTTCGCGTTTTCCTATCTGCTACTATCAGTTGAGTCATTGCTTTACCACAACAGATACATGGATTCATGCCTTTCTGAAGGGCAATAGTGTTAAGAGAACATAAGCAGTTTCATCCAAGATTTAAAGTTTGTTTTGCTGTTTGTTTTCAATGTTCATAATTCATAATAAATTCAGGTTGTATCTTGAAATATAAATGTTTAACCATTCTCCTAGGGGGCTATTTTTATTACTGAGGGGGGAAATAAATTTTATTACTGAGGGGGGAAATAAATTTTATTACTGAGGGGGGGAAATAAATTTTATCACTGAGGGGGAAATAAATTTACAATCTAATTGTTGTAAAGAGAGTCTCACCAAACTGAAAGCAAATGAAAGAAACATGTATGACGTTCTGGGAAATCGGTCAAACAATTACTTACCTACTGCAGCAGTCACCATCAATTTACTGAGGAACATGATTAGATCCGTCACTTTATCCACTATCACTGTCCTGTAGAGAAAAGAAAATAATTATTTATGGTAGCAGAATGTCTGTCTAAATTTTTTGAATGAGGAGTTACCTTTATTTACACTATTTTAAATGCAGCCTATTGTCCTCATCTTTGTTGTTGTTATCACAATGTTTTGGCTTGTATCAGGCGTATGTCAATCCAGGTAACCTACGGGGAAATTCCGAACTGAATCTTTTATTTAATCTAAGAAAGAATTCCTTGTAGGTTACCCAGACTGATATTATTGAATGCCCTAAATGACTATTAATATCGTCTGTCAGATTTTGAGAAAGCCTAGAATATAAAAACCAATTTACCTGAGGGCATTCCGCATGATCATAGAGAAAGCTTTCTTTGCAGATGTACAGAAGTTCTTGCCATGAATAGCAATCTGAAATTAGAAATTAGAATCGAATCAAGAAATTTTGATAAAATGCAACAAATTTGATAACGGCTGCTAAAAAGTAGGCATATTTTATTTTATATTCCTAACATATTATAAGAAAACAAGATAACATTTTCAAGAAGAAAACTTATTTGAATTTTTCATGTTAAAAAAAGATTTACAAGTTCAAAATGTCTTAAAATGCCAGGTCTCTTCAGGGTTTAGGATATGACTCTCCACAGTTTCCTTTTCTCTTTTAAATGCCATGTCTCTTCAGGATATAGGTGATCATGACTCTTCACAGTCTTTTTTTTTTTTTTTTTTAAATCAAACTGTAGACCCTTGGGAAAGATAGTGGTGCCCAAAGGTGAGAGAGCACATGGGAGTCCAAAGATGAGAGAATACAGACTCATATTTTTTCACTGTATCATTCCAGTGAAGATTTCTGCCTGAAATTTTGGGATGAGGAATTGTCATTATTTAAATTCATACTGTTGTCCTCATCTTTGTTGTTGCTATCACAACATTTCGGCCATTGTGCTCTACAGCCTTCATCAGAATACAATGACTGAAGTGTTGGGATAATTACAACAAAGACAAGGACAACAGAGTGCATCAAAATAATTGATTAATTTAATTGAATTTTAACAACACACCTGTCTATATTTCTGAGATGAGGTATTGTAATTATTTACATTGTTTGGTCTGTTGTCCTCATCTTTGTTGCCATATTCATGATGTTTAGGTCATTGTATGCTCTGGCCTTCTTCAGGTGATTGGAATTTTGAACTGAACCCTTTATTTCGTCCACTGGAGTAGATTGTTCTAGTTCTATGTGCCATGCCTCTTCCATGGCTCAACTCTCCAGGTATTGAACTCACAACTCTTTGGGTCAAGTCACTTTGGGTCAAGTCACTTTGGGTCAACCAATGCTTTTATCCACTGGGCCATGTGTCCTTGAGGGCATCAGTGTATGAATTTTTGGAACTTATAAACTTAATGCCTTAGTAACCTTTTTTACCAGAGCTCATATTGCAATGATGAAGTTTTCATTATTCTGTCGGATTCTGATTGCCAGCCTCTCCAGTTTCGTGATGTTTGATTTGGGTGGCTTGTCTTTCTCTAGTATCTGTCTCACTTTCCCTCTTAGGTCATCTGCCTGAGCTTGTGGGGTGAGGTCGAAATAACAGATAGAGAACATCACTGGAAAATACGTAAATTTAAGGAATCAGCACACATGCTAGGCCATAAAAATCTCTTGAACTGTCCAAGCATAGAAATGAATACAATATGGGAACCAGTAATATAGAATGCTAGAGAAATGCAATAATAACAGCAAAAAATTCCAATCATCTAAAAAGGACCAGGGCATACAACAGCCGAAATGTTGTGAATATGGCAATAAAGATGAGGACAACAGTTTGAACAATGTAAATAAACAATGTATAATATAAATAAACAGAATTTTTTTTTTTTTTTGAAATCAAATGCATGTTGTAATATTCTCTACTTACTGATTAAAATTTTTAAAAATGGCTTGGACCAAATAACAATTCACTATTAGAATTAGGACAAAATTAAAACTGTCTGAATTTCTGGGATAAGGAGTTTACATTATTTACATTCAGACTAATATCCTCATCTTTGTTAATATCACAACATTTCGGCCATTGTACCCTTCAGCCTTCATCAGGTGTATGCCAATCAAGCAATGGTTAGAATTAGAATAAAACCTAAACTAAGAATGATAGTGAATTTATACATTTTCTTTGTTCTTGAGATTTAACAACAAAAATAATAAACATTGTTTATTTATTATATTGTTTATTGGAATGGTTGGCAAAACAGCGGCTAAATGCCAATTGATTTGACCTTTATAAAATGGTAAACAATAATGATTTCCTTAAAGTTGGTTCAGATGTTTTAATATTTTAGTAAATGTTTATAAATTTATGAATAAAAAATATTTTCCTTATTTATTTCTCTATAAATTGGTAAATGATAAATATTGTATTGCAATAGTTTTAATTGTATTAGTTTTTAGAATGTCGTAAATATAAAATTATTTTTGTAAATAAACAATCTAATAAATAAATATTTTTTAATATTTTTGTTGTAAATTTCCAAGAAAAAAAAAACATATAAATTCACTTTCATTATGTGCCTAGGTTTTTATCCCAATTCTAATCATCACTTTTTAAAATGATAAACATTGTTGAGCAGTGAAAGTAGTTAAAAAAGTGGTGTCATGGGAAACAATATCCTTTTGACACTCTGTCTTATTGCAGGCCTTCAAGTCCATGTTTACCACAATCACATAAGAACATCAATAAGCCCTTGTAGGAAATTCAGTCATCCATGTTTTTTATATTAAAAATCCAAACAACCAAATTTCAAATGATAATAAAGAAAACATTTAAAACTGTTAAATAAATCATTTGTATTTACAAACATATGTACATGAATTCAAGAGTCAAAAAGGCATAAAAATAGTCTTTAGTTGAGTTAAAGTCTTTGAGTAGTTGGAACACAGAAAAATCTGAAGTTTAGAAAAGACTTTTAAATAGTTGATCCACAACCTAATGAGGAAAAAAATTATTTTAAACAAGTATTCTTTTTCCAATATAATATCTTCCTTTTCAATTAACCTTATCAAACACTTCTCCATTAATCACATAGCTTGAACATTATACAATGAAAATTTCACATCAAATAAAAGTTAAAAATCATGAGGCTAATGACATCCTTCATACATTGTCTTTGTGAATCCTTAACATCAGAATAATTTGTTTGTATGTATTTTTCCATCAAAAATACATTTTTTTTTAAAGTAAGAAGTTCAACCTAAAATATTTTTGAGCATTTTTTTAAAAAATGGCAACTTGGAATTTATCCAGGTTTCATATGATTGTCTTACCATGATGTAAGCATTTTTGTTGAGGAATTTCAAGAAATTCTCAAGACACCAAAGACAACACTTCATACACCTGAAATGGAAAAAAAAAAAGGAAACATTTTAACATCACAGTTAAAGAAATATATACAAGTTGAAAATATCAATTAAATCCAACCAAATTATTAAATAAGAAACAAGTATTAAAATCTAAGAAAATTTAACACATTTCGACACTTATTTAGCTTCATCAGAAATCTTTGGAAAAGAAATAATGCTAAGCTCTGCTTTAATTTTTAAATTCCTTATTGTTTTATTTTTATTGGTTGTGTTATAAGCACACATATAGTAGCATGAAAGAACATACAAAACAAGTACAGCTGGTAAGGCAAAAGGGAAAGACAAGAAATGTTAATATAAAATTATTTGCTGATGCAGAGGAATGTCTCTAATGTGGGCAAGGGAGGTAACTTTGGAAAGAAGTTTGTAAAGCCTGGTATTTGTCAGGTCAGTTGACTGAGGTAGGAAGTAGTGAGGCTGAGAGCTTGCCAGGCATCAACAACTGGTCTGTTCTCTGTGATTCTGTCTGTCATTCATGAGCGATTTTTTTAAAAGCAAATGTCTTAGCTTCTGAGCTCATTTTTGTTCCTATTATTTTCTTTGGCAGTAACGTTCGTGATTGGCTTATTTTAGGCTGTTATTTTATATTTTCTGCAGGAATTTGTTTCTTTGTGCCGGATGTTATGCTTGGAATCCCTGCACAGAGGATGACTTATACTGAGTGATCATGGCTCACCACATTTTCCTTTCCTTTGTAGCTCTTAGTAAATTTTGTCTTTATGCTATCTCTCCTAGACCCTGTTCTGCCATTCCCTTACACAAGCTTACTATGATAGCAAAAAGAGAAAAGTTATTAAAAGCTACAAAGGACAGGAAATCGTGGAGAGCTATGATCGCCAGCATCTTGAAAAGACACAGCACACAGAAGAATGAGCTTGTGTAAATGGTTAGAACAGGGATTAGGATAGATAGCATGGATAAAATTTATTGAGTACAAAGTACAGGAAATTGGAAATTGCCATGATTGCCCATGTCTGAAAGGGACACGGCATAAAGAAGAAGAAGAAGAAGAAGAAGAAGAAGAAGAAGAAGAAGAAGAAGAAGAAGACTCTATTTTCTGCTTATGGTCACATTTTTTACAGTATGAGCCTTTTCAGCAATTTATAAAGTTAATTTTATTCTTTGTTTCTGCATTTAGATTTTTCCATATTCATTTAAGGCTGAAGTTAAGCAATGTCAAGCCTGGTCAGTAGCTAGATGGGTAGCTGCTTGGGAATATCAAGTGCTGTAAGTTTGGATGAGTGGATGATGTCATGGATAATGGCTTGGAATTGTTAATGAAACAGCCGAATCTGAATTACAGATGGGTTCATTATATTCATTTGCACGCAAATACCCTTGGGAAAGGTATGAATTCAGTGCTTCTCTTCCAGTTATGGGTTAATTAGTATGCCTTGTATCACTAAAGCTATTATTATCTCAAAAAAAATAAAAATAAATAAGTAAAATTATGTACAAAACATTTTAGATCTTGGCATTAAATAGAATGTTAGTAAAAAGGACTTTTTTTCTTTTCTTTTTTTTTGTGCCACTAAACAAAACCAACCAACCAACCATTTAAGGCCACCTCCCTTAAAAAAAAAAAAAAAAAAATGTACCTT